TTCCTCGAGCGTCGGTCCTGTATAGCACATAATGAATCAGTGAAAGAAACAATACATTCAGACTGATCAATTAATTGAGATACGGAAATAAGGTGACAATTAAGCCCAGGGACATAAAGAACGTGGTGAAGAACGAGGGATCGAGAGAGTTGCACACTGCCCTCCAATACAGCAACGGTTTTTCTTCCATCCGGTAACCCAACCGGACATTCACGAATACCAATAACATTGGTGAGACAAGTGGAGTCACCCGTGACATGATGTGATGCCCCGGTATCAATAATCCATTCAATAGAGGTGCACATATTGTGTGAGGCAGCACGATTCTCGCCCGGTGTTCTAAGAGAAAGAGAAAGAGCTACGGCATGGGCATCTCCCATGGCTAACGAACTGGGCACGCTGGTGCCATTCGATTTGCTGTATGGAAGAAGTAACGTAGAGGACAAGATGCGGCATCCCCTAGTGGGCTCTGATACCATATTGAATTTTAGGAGTGCATAGGAAATAAACTTTTTCCATATGATTGAAATAATCAAGAGGTGTTTTTATATACAAGTTGGAACCGTATCTACTCCCTATTAATTAAGCCTTTGGCCCATTACATACAAAAGGCTATATACAAAATAATTAGACCCATACGGGTCTTAACATGTACACAGGCAAGTTATAAGATTTGCACAGAAAAAGATGGATTTGCAAGGAAAGTATGTGGCCAGTAGCTCCAGCTTTTAAAGGGTAACACAACTGGTAATAACTTGCTAATAACGCTTCATTTCTTGCCTTTTCGGACTGATTATCCGATAGTTTCTTGACCCATTTTTCCTTATTATCGCATTAATTTATTTGACTCTTACACTAGCAGCTGATAATAGTAGTAGCGACAATAACCTTTATTTGGCTGTACAAACAAAATAAAGAACAAAATCACGTGAAAAGAAACAAAAGAATGAACCCCCGAATCTGGTTGCTTTCAGCACCTTAACATTGACGATTTGAAGCAACTAACGTGTGAATCAAACCACACTTTTTCCTCTTACCTTTCCATGTGAAACTGAAATAACAACAAATGCTTAAATTAGACTGAACTTAAATTATAGTGAAATAAACATACATAAGACACAAACGGATCAAATCAGATTTAAACAAATTTGACCCAAGTTCAAGAGAAAGTATACTAATCACTACAAAAAAAACCACGAGATTGGCAGGGATTTTGGCAGGGAAATGCTAAATTCGTGCCAAAAACACTTTGGCACAAGCTATTTGGCACGAAAAATCGGTAAGTCCGTGTCAAATTCCCTGCCAATCGCGTAATTTTTTTGTAGTGAATTTCTGTGTAAGTTGGTTGTGTATTTGTGTTTTCTCTTTATTATCCTCCTATTAAGTTCAACAAATATGTAGATAGCATAATCATATGGGTAAACGAAGGACAAAATTTTCTTTACAAAAAAAAGGATAAAATCCTCAAATAGTAATACAAGTTTCTCAAATTATTCGGAATAAGCAACCTGAGAATATTTGGAGATAAATTTGAGATAATTTAGTATACTCTAGGAAATGCTTAATTCGGTTTGTTATTCTATTATTAATTATTACGGAGTAATAAACAACTTCAGTTTTATTGCAATAAATAAAGTTGACTACTCTAAATTACTCTCTATAAATGTCTTGGTTACTCATAAAATTCAAATGAAGATTAGCTAGATCTTCATAGTATGTCATGGATACTTTAAAGGATCAACAGTACAATTGGCAAGGACACATTTAATTTGATGGAGTGTATTTCCATATCATGAATGAGCAAAATTGTATCATTTCTTTTCTTTTTTATGACAACTTCTTCAATATTACACCATTCACATATTTTATTTCAATCATATTTTTGTACTCATGTATCAAAACATATATCATACTATGTAAAATGCTTTTAACGACGTTCTAAATTAAAAGCCCGTTTGGTAGCACGAATATCGGTTGATTTGGTTGATTCTGCTGAGATTTATGAAGTTATAACTGAAGTGGCTGCATTGTCTGATTCTTTATTTTATTTTATTAATAAAATAAAGAAAAAATTATATGTAAAAATAGCTAAAATGATCATCTACAGTAAATTCAGCCAATACTAACTTCAACCTTACATTTTCTGTTTATTACACAATTCAGTGCGTGAAAACAAAAGTTATGTGGTTCGTGAAAAAGTTGGCCGAAAAACAATATTGTCAAACGACCTCTAAATAAGGAATGAAAACCCATTTAGATAGGGTGTGATTTTCTTCTAATTTTCATGTTTTTCCTATCACAATGTAATTGTTTTCTGGATTTTATAAATTTTCTTCCCTGCATTCCTTTCCTCCATACTTCCCTACGACCACACCATTGATGGCGTGAATGAAAGTTACTTTTAATTGGAAGAATAAATAGTACAAATTGTTGTCCTATTCCCTACGACCACACCATATGAATTGCTCCTCCATTTTCGATTTGCTCCTCACCATTAGCAGTGTAAGAAAATAAATGTTAACATATAAACGTGATGTAGATTTTTTAAGGTGATCTAACCTATTTGACATACAGTTTTATAATTGAGAGGTTGAGCCTAAACTAATTGTAATTTGTTTATGTTTTTTACATGATTAGGCGTAACCATTAGCTATATTGCACGGAAACGATACAAGATATATCGACACGCAGATATGGATACAACGATATGAAAAGTTTGAAAAATATAGGATACCCGTGTGGATATTTGCAATTTGCAAAACTATAGGATATGGAGGTTTAAGGCTCATATCCTTCTGTCATAGGATTCATAGCCGGTCAACAGAATTTGATTTATGAATTGGGTGATCAAAAATCAAAGTGTAGGTGAGTCATGACTTATGAGTGTGTCCAAATTTAAAGAGTTATAATACTTCTAATAAATACATCGGTATGGTTAAGACTATGATATCCATCATGCAAGTGGAAAAATTATCGTAATTGTAAATAAAAATAAAAGTGTTAGCTTTTTTATTTTTTACTACTGATGACATCTTCAATGAAAATTCCTCTAGGGCAGGAATATCTCTATTTAATCTTCTTGTTTGATAATCCATAGTCCCCATAGATAGATCATAGAAGCATTGTGTATCTCAACTTGTATCGAGTTTCAGCCTAGATTACTCTAGGTCCCCCAACCCCCTCCCCTAGACGCCCCCAGGAGTAATAAAAAAAGGTACCATAGTAACAAAAAAAATTCTTGTTTTCTATATACGTTTTCGAGATTTCTGTTTCATTTTCCATTTTGTGTTTCTGTTTTTGTTATTCAGTTTATATTTCCTTTTTCCAATTTTAGTTCTCCAATTTTTCTGAGGCAGAGATAATTCGACATTACCGATACTCACACAAATGTGGTTGAAGATTTCAACCGTTGTCAGCAATGGTGGTGGTGAATGGTGATCGATGACAATGGTAATAAGACTAAGAGTACTATTTTATTAGAAATAAAAGAGAGAGAATATCAATTGAGAAATGGAAAACTGATCTTGGGCCTCTTGGTGTTGGTAGACCTGCACAAAACCGGGCCGGCCCGCCCAGCCCGCCCAACCGGCCCGCGCAAATAGGCGGGCTTGGGCATATATATTTACCCACCGGCCCGGGCCGGGCCCGGCCCGCAATAACATATGGGCGGGCTTGGGTTAGGGTGTAGGCCCGTTCGGGCCGATAAGCCCGGCCCGCTACATTTAATATATATATATATATATATAATTTATTTAATTTATTTACATGTACATTTATATTTTCTAATATAATTTATCTTTATACATATTTATAGTTTATTATGTTTAAATTTAGGTTTTTAGATCTGAACCACTAGCCCAACTAATATAGTATCTATTTTTGTACTTAAAGATAATACTTTGTGCTCGAATTTTAAATTTTAGATATAGTTTCTCATTATTATTTTTGTGTAAGTATTATTTTTGTATGTGGTCAAAGACCTATAAACATTACACGCATATTAACAATTTTTTAAATGTTGTAATATTAGTTTTAAAGTATTAAAAAAAAATCGAAAAATATAAAGTTTTTCCGGGCCCGGAGGCCCGATGGACTACCCGGCCCGCTTTTATGGGCGGGTATGGACATGGGGTTAGGCCCGTTTTTGCGGGCCGGGCCGGGCCCGCCCACATTTGATGGGCGAAAAAATTATAAAAAGCCCGGCCCGAGCCCGGCCCGAGCCCGTTTTTGTGCAGGTCTACCTAGTTGGTGATTGTCAACAATGATGGTGGTGATCAAAGGCGTTGGTAGCAATGGTTAGGGCTGTTAACGAACCGAGCTTTTATCGAACTATTCGAGCTCGAGCTCGATTTCGAACCTAACGAGCCGAGCTTAACGAGCTTTGAACTCGAACTCGAGCCGAGTTTTAAGTTCGAAAAATTAATCGAGCCGAGCTCGAACATAGTAGTTTTCGGCTCGGTTCGAACTCGAGCCTATCGAACACCCTAAAATTTTAAATATAATTTTTATATATGTCAAAATTTAAATATAATTAGTATGGTTTAATGAATTTAAATATGGTTATTAATGAACCGAATACTTGTCGAACCATTCGAGCACGAGCCTATTAACGAGCATCATCTAAAATTTTAAATTCGGGCATATTTATCGAGCTTATCGAGCGCTCGATTCGAACATCGAACGCCTATCGAGCCGAACACGAGCCTCATTTGTAAAGCTCGTCGAGCTTCGAGCTCGAACCCGAACACCCCTTATTCCTTAACGAGCCGAATTCGAGCTTTGGGTGTTCGGGCTCGGTTCGGCTCGTTAACAGCCCTAGCAATGGTTGATAACACCTCTGTTGGCAATGGTTGCTAGATATGGTGATAGTTAGTGACAGGGATGAGTTAGTACTGCATAGTGCATACCAAACTTTTGAATTCATACTGGAAAAAAGTGGAGGGCTACTTCGCTAAATCGACAGGAAAAAAGATCGCCTCATTGAGGTAAGATACTAAGCTGTCATCTTGAAGATACCTACCTACATTTCATATTTTCATATAAGGAGAAACCAAGCCTTTCACCTCCACTATGTCTAACTGTTCCGACAACAAAAGGCTCACTTAGAGTTGCTCAACACAATTAAAGTGCACAAGTCCAAACCATGGACAGTAAATAAACACCATAGTAGGTACGTATGTTACAAATTATAGGAGAAAGCAGGTTATAGAATTTTTGCTCTCATTCTTATGTGAAAAATTACATGTTATTAAGTAAATCTTGAATCTTAGAGTACATCATCACCTGTGACGGGTCACTCCCCCCGGCCCCATTGCTGTGTGAAGCCACTCTGGAACTCCCTTCGAGTTTGATTTTCTCAAACAAATACTGCTTCTCGGCTTCGGCTTCACTCATCCTTTGCTTGAGATACCTGCTAGTGTAGTCTTCTTGGGACTTCTCTGTCTTGGCAAGCGCAATCCTCTGCAGCCTATCGGCTTCTCGTCTAGCTTCGCCAGCTTTAAGGTCAAACATGTCGGCCTCTGCCTGTTTGAGCCTCACAATGCTTTCCAGCTCATCAATCTGCTGCTTCTTTCGCTGCCGCTCCATCTTTAGTGCAGCTACTTCCCTAGCTTTATCCTTTAGCTCCTGGTCAGATGCTTCGAAAGCCATGCGGGCTTTCTTTACCATCCGCATCTTCTCCTCAGCTACCATCTCCATTTTTCTGATGGCTTCCTGGACAACGTCAGCAATCTTGGTGAATGCTTCCTGCGGGGCTATCAGGCGCCCAGCTTCATCTATATCTTGACTCTTGGACGAATCGACCTCAAGCTCTATAGAGAGGGTACATATGTAAATTATTAGAATACTAAAAGAGACTAAATCACAATATCTTCATACTACATTATTATATCTGCCAAATCTATTTATCTTCCGTGTTGTCACAAAATATTCAATCATGATCATCCTAACTATGTGGGGCTGGTGAAATGATATTTGGAGTACCCATGAATCCAAACTAGATGGGTACGGGGAATCAGATATAATGTAAATGTATGGTCTATAATTAATTCTCTTTATATAAATGCAAGAAGAGAAACCTTCTTATGAGAAATAATGAGATAAAATTCTAAAACCGTTAACGGCACATGTAAGAAACTGATATAGTTGCTAAGATGCTGTTGTCATGTACATACGATATTGATATTGTCATACCAATATGAGTCCATGACAGTGGCAATTGATATCTTGTAAACACTTGTTGAATGATTGTGCTGGCTAAAATATGGTTAAGACTAGGAGTTTGAATTTTAGAAATAGCCATTAAAGTAGCTATGTGCAATTGTGCATCCGTCAATTCAGTTAAAAGTTTCAGCTAACAAATAGCAGCAAGCTTGTGAGTTCTGAAGCTAAAAACTAGGAACAATTCGACTGTTTATCTATACCATGGTAAGTATTAACACCAGTTTGTTAAGGCCTTGTTCCCAAAAGAGACAATTAAAACTAGCCAATTAGGAAAAGCTTTTTTTAGTTTCTTACTGGCAGTTTTCAAAATTTCGTGGTCAATCCAACTATGATTATTTTTAAGTCAGTATACAACATGTATTATAAGGTTCCCAAGTTCTAGATTTGTCAAAAAAGTTCTAAATTTGTTGTCTTACTCAGGTTATGGCGCTTGGCGAAGGAAAACTTAATTCTTCCTACAGAAAATTAAGTTAGTAATAGTAAAAGAAATAGAAACTACACTGTGTACTACCGCTTAAAGCTTACCATGTTAGCTCATCCAATATGATATAGCTAGTTCATGTTCAGCTGTCAAACTTAAAGAAAACGATTCACCCAACATACTTTTATCTCTACCAACAAAATTCAATTATGCATCACAGTTTTTATCTTATTCAGGGAAAACAATCTAATTACTATCTATAACTGTGAGATAAGTAAAGGTAACCACAGGATCTGTGTTACCTTGAAAGAACGACAAGATAACTTTGCAGGCCACAGGTTCAGCTGCACCACTTTTCAGCTTTCCTATGAGTTCCTCACACTTCAGGAACAGTTTAAGGCCTCTTGGGTCCTCACTTCCGCGGAAAATTCTACTAACATAATCAAATTCTCTTATAAAAGCTTCCCTATCCCAGTTTGGTGCACAGTGTTGGAAAACATCTCTTACCCACCCTAACAACTCAGATGTCCTGTTGCAAGCACGGCACCTAAAAATCATTTCAGCAGAGCCATTCTTAGCAGACGGCCCCATCCCAATGAGCCCATTTCGAATAGCACAATCAGTATGGGTCCAGTGGGAACATTGATCACAGCCAATCCATCTACATGTGTTAACCTCAAAATCAAACTTGTTACATATCACACACATACAAAGGTTGCAGAAACCATTTCTCTTAGAGCAAACCTCACAAGAACAGGCATCAGCTGGAAGGTTACTTCCACAGGCTATGTTTCTACATTTCTTGTACAAGAAAATATCAACCAGAGAGGCCTGTGAGAGGCTAACACTGGGATGTAGAAATGCTTGAATCCCAGTCTTAATAGCTACTAGGATTTCTAGCTGCGCTCTGTGAGCCATAATCAGTGTTTTCCCAGTCAAATCGCCCCTGTTCTGAACTAATTTCTGCAAAAATAGGAACTCATCTCTATGCTGAGAACCACCTAGTCCTTCAAGAAGAGCCCGGAGTTCAACTTTGAACTTTTCCAGATACTCATCGGGGAGGTGTTGCATTCTATCTGCTATTAGATCCACCCGTTCTCGCGCAACATCTTGAAGAGACATCTTGTCCGAGCTTGATATATGGCGGACGACACCATTCTCAGCAAAGCCGTTCTCTTTCTCCTTGTCCATTTTCTTCCCTACCAAAGGATCAGGTGTAGGCCATGTTTCACGAGAGCTAGCGCTTTCAGAGGGGGATTCCCGAATCTGATCCGAATTTGAGCCGCGCTCTTGGAGATTGGGAGAACCACAAGCATCTGATGGGACCAAGGATAAGTTAGTCTGCAACCCACCCGGGCGAGGCTGTTGGCGAGGCGGAAGCATTTTTGGAGATCCTTGGTGGTTAAAGTGAGACCCAGGCGACATTCCCACCAAGTTAATTAATCAATTTCAAGTAATAGACTGAAGGAATGCTGATACGTCAAACCTGGGGGGAAATCGCAGCCGGACACGGGCCAAAGGCGTCGGAACGGCACGGTCTCCGGCGGTATGGAGACTCAGATCGGTCTGGAACTTTGGGGTATGAGCTTGATTTCAGATCTCATTGACCACGGTCCCTTGTACGGGGTGGGGTGTATGGAGTTCATTCTTACCATTGTTCCTTTAGTCAACGACGACTCCTTTAGTCCCTTGTACGTTTCCTTTTGACAATTGACATGTACTTCCTCCTTCCTTGAGGCTCCATCCCATAGAATAGTTCTCTGATTGACTTGGAACGGAGTTTAAGAAAGTGAGAATAAAATGAAAATGTATGATTGTGGTTGAGTAAGAAAAACGTAAATGATTGTAAACCACACAAAACTTTCCAAAAAGAGAAATAAGAACTATTTTTTGGGACGTCCCAAAAAGAAAACTGGGAACTATTTTGCGGGACGGAGGGAGTACAAATGGCAATGGTCAATGACACCCTTTTGGTGGTGATCCCTAAAGTGTCACGATCAGAGTCAATGAAGCAATTTCGGCCAATTAGTCTTTGTAATGTTGCTTATAAAGTTATTACTAAGCTTCTCACTACCTGTTTGAAGCATCACACGATGGGTTGGGTCCACCCCACACATTCCAGTTTTGTCCTTGGGCGACACATCACTGATAACATAATCATCATCCAAGAAGTAGTCCACACCACGGAAAATGACCGGGGAAGAACTCGACACATGGCTCTCAAAATTGATCTGCATTCGTTGGGATTTTTTGGCCAAAACTCTATCCTCCATTGGTATTCCGACAGATATTATCTCTCTTATCATGGCTTGTGTTTCTACAAATCGATTTCAGGTCCTATGGAATGGTGAAATGACTGAGGAATTTCGACCGACTAGAGGTCTCAGGCAAGGGTGCCCGATGTCCCCCTTTTTATTCACTCTTTGCATCGAACGGCTTAGCCACCTCATTAATGCTGCAATGGCGAATGGTGAGTGGAGGTCAATCATGCTACCCTTGGACGGACCGGCTCTCTCCCATATTTTCTTTGTAGATGATCTTATACTATTCGGCGAGGCGTCAGAGGCGCATGCTCGTGTCATTAAGCGTTGCCCGGATGATTTCTGTTCAGCGTCTGGTCAATTTGTTAGCAAGGAAAAGTCATTGGTTTTTTTTCAAGACTGTCCCCATGCTTGATGCATATCGTATTGCTTCCTCTCTTGAAATGCCAATTATACAAACTTGGGCAGATATTTGGGGGTCCTTGTACTCCATGAAAGGGTGTCTAATGGTACGTACCAGACCATTTTGGATCGCATGGACCATAAGCTCGCTGGTTGGAAAACTCTGATGCTTGCTCTTGCTGGACGGGTTACTCTTGCCCAATATGTGTTATATGCGATTCATGCTTATGTTATGCAAACTTTGGTGCTCCCCGGTAGTATTTGCAATGAAATTGATAAAAGAATCAGGAATTTTGTTTCGGGTACCATCGCGGAGGAGAGGAAAATTCATCTCCTCTCGTGGGATGCCATCTGTCATCCAAAACAACAGGCGTGTTTGGGGCTCCGCTCAGCCAGGCAGCTCAATCAGGCGTATATGGTAAAACTGGCTTTCAATTCCTTACCAAACCAGATGAATTCCGTGATTCCGATGGTCGCTGCTTAGCGGCGTACTCGATGAACACGAGTTTTTGCTCAATAACCAGGGCTGAAATGAGAGATGTTGTGCAAGGTCACGATTACATTTTTCTTGGGAGTTTGGATATCGCTAGGTATGAGTGCAGTTGGACTCGCATGCAACTATTCAACTTTTGATGGAAGAAGGTGAGCGTGTTCAATATTAAGACCCGTGGTTCCATCCTAAAAGGTCAATCTGATAGGAGGAGTAGCCCGTGTGTTAATATAGCACTTTGTTCATCCAAATGTTTCCGGTGTGGGACATTTAACACCCCTCCTCACGACCAGACATTTTGTCTGGATCGTGCCATCATTCATTTTTTTCATCGGTCCGTTTTATTTTTCATTCGGCCGTAATTGTCATTTTTTATAATCGTGTCATCACGATTCATAAGGGGCCCCACACCATGGATCGATTTGGCTCTGATACCATGTTAAGACTTGGGGTTCCATCCTAAAAGGTCAACTTGATAGGAGGAGTAACCCGTGTGTTAATATAGCACTTTGTTCATCCAAATGATAAAGAAACCAAAAAAATACAATGATATGAAGTAGTGCGGTGATGTGAGTTTTCTCGCACTTAAAATAGATCGTAATATAGTGGTGTAAGTACGAGTATCGTCTCCACAAGGAAGGACAAAAGGGAATCAAGAATTAATTAAATTCAGTGATTAAAAGAAATAAATAAAATAAATGCGTCGTGCGAGATTGGTTGCCGGAAAATAAAAATGCGAATAAAACGATTAAACTAAGGGGTTCTCTCTAATTAATGACGAAGGGAACAGGGATTGATTCTGGGGTAACCAGATTTCTGGCAGATCAGGCCTAATCACATGAAATTAATTCAATTGAGCCTAGCTAATCATTACTAAGTTCTTACCGCTCTCGCGGCGTAGAGTACAATAATTTAGGGAACCAGGCTGATCTCTCATGCGACAGGATCCTAAATTATTGCCAAGACGAGCGAGCTTACGACCCCTTAATCGCTACTAATCTCTTAGAGAACAATTAAGTGTGTGTGAATGTGTCCTAGAATAAATTAGATCTCTCTTAACTTATTCTATAAGCAATTGTAATTCTAGTCGCGATTCTAGGTTACAAAAGATATCAATTAAATTATTCAAACACAAATTAAACGGCATTCATGCAATTAAACCGAAAAGAATCTAGCCATACATCATGATTAACCCCTTCATCAATCCCAAATCCCTAATTAAAACTACTCACAATTCATAATTGAAGAATCAATAGAATTGGAATAAAAAGAATTAATGGTCATTAATTAAAAAGGTGGAACTTACAAAAAATCCCAAAAGATTGATGAACAAGGCTGAAAAGCCCTCTAAAGTTCGTGCTAGACACTCTCTCTAAGCTCCCCCTTGAAAACGGGGGTTTATCAGCTGTTTAAATCGAAAAATCGGGTGAAATTTGAGCTGAATTAGGATTTTCGGAGCCAGACAGATGCCAGGCACGATCGTGCATTCGATCGTGCCTCCGGAGCAAAAACACGCATTTTGGGCAGGCACGATCGTGCCTCCCTCCAGGCACGATCGTGTCTGGCTGGCAGTAGCTCCGCGGTGCTTTTCTCTTCAGGCACGATCGTGCCTGACTTTGAGAGCACGATAATGCCTTCTTAATTTCCGAATTTGACAAAACTTCCTTAATAAAAGTTGTATATAATGAAGTCCTCTATCCACCCCAATTTGCCGAATGGGATTTGAATCATCCAATCAAGAGATATGATCAAAACGGTGGAAGGTATCATTCTGAAATCGCAGCAGAGATCATCTGACTTCATTGTCTGTTTTCACCTTCTTCCTCTCAGATTATCGCAAAGGTGTCTTGATATGATTTGTATCCCTTGAAGTTAGATTTCATATGGAACTTGAATCGTGTACATTGGATGTTTCTACAAAGAGATATGCTTGAACGATTGACAGAAGGTCATCCTGATCGTCGTTTTCAAGCTTCATTCATCTTCTTTTGACCCCGTAGCCAATTCTAGAGCTCTTTTTCCTTCAAATCTTCATCGTGAATCTTCCGGTGACCTCCAAAGCTATCAAATCATTCTCAAATGCTTCTCCAATCATCCCGATTGTTCCTCAAGTGCCGGGTACCGGGCTCAAATTCCCTGATTTTGACTACAAACAACACAAAACTCGAACCAACGCCCGGTAAACATAACTTGAGCTAAAATTGAGACTTGCAACACCTTAAAGCTGGGAAAACCATCAAAATCCAATCCCTTTACACATCAAATGCGTGTCTAAATACGGACTTATCATGCGGTCAAACATTCAAAATAAGAATAAAATGGGATTGATTTCCCCTTGTCCCTGCTCCACTATTTTACATCCATATATATACATGTGCTCCCATATAGACTCCACTTAATTAGCTAATCATTCTAATAATATTCTTTCCTAAAATATGTATTAACATACAACACAATATTAGGAATAAAATAAAGCTAAATTAGTTTACATAAATACTCCAAAAACTGATCCCAAAACTAATTATGATTCCAACACCCCCCTCAAGATGGAGCGTGAGGATCAAGAATGCCCATCTTGGACTGCAAGTAAAGGAATGGCTCGGCTCCAAGGGCCTTGGTAAATATGTCGGCAAGTTGTTCGGTGGAGATCTTATGCATGGGCTGAATTGTGCCAGCTTGAACATGATCTCACAGAAAATGACAATCAATTGCAATATGTTTTGTTCTCTCGTGTAATACGAGATTGGAAGGTATGTGTAGAGCCGCCTGATTGTCACAGAAAAATTGAGCCGAATCGATATGAACATCAAGTGACCGGAGTAAACTACGAAGCCAAATAAGTTCACTGGTTAAAGTAGCCATAGACCGGTACTCGGCCTCAGCGGAAGATCGGGAGACAGTGAATTGTCTTTTCGTGCGCCAAGAGATAGGGGAATGCCCAAGAGTAACAAAATATCCAGAATTAGAGTGTCGAGTAAGTGGATAGCTGGCCCAATCAGAATCACAATAACCGGTTAACGTAAGTGTAGAATCACTACGTAAAAGGATTCCCTAACCCGGATGACCTTTCAAATACCGTAAGACCCGCAAGGTAGCCCCCCCCATGAGCATGGCGAGGATTTTGCATAAATTGGGACAAAATATGCACAGAATAGCTAATATCTAGGCGTGTGAGAGTAAGATAAATAATCTTCCCAATCAGGCGTCGGTAACGATCGGGGTCAGAACAAGGAGGTCCATTATCAAGTTGTAACCGATGATTCTGTACCATAGGAAATGTAGCCGGATGAGCACCTGAGAGACCAGTTTCCTCAAGTATATCAAGTACATATTTTCTCTGACATAAGAAAAAAATCTAGAGGAATTGCGGGCAATTTTAATTCCCAAAAAATATTTCATTTTACCCAAGTCTTTAATGGGAAAAGTATGCCCTAAGAAAGATTTGAAATCCCTAATCATAGTGGAGTCATTGCCGGTAATAAGCAGATCGTCAACATACACAAGAACACATAATATAGAAGTATTGCATTT